CTGGTAAAAACAGCATCTTGCATATTTTTTCATTATTTTTCTTTTTTATGAATTATTAAGTCTCCTTCTCTGGTCTGGGGTTATTCCTCCCCATATGCAGAACCTTGCACTCGGCCTTGTTGAATTGCATGAGGTTTTTCACCGCCCAGTTGTCCAGTCTGTCCAGGTCCCTCTGGATGGCAGTGCGGCCCTCTGGGGTATCAAATATTTTCAGCGAATAAATTTTATATTTTCAGCGAATCAAGGAACTGAAGATCTTGCATCCTCCTGTCATGCTCCAAAGCATGTTATTATATCCCACTTTCACTGGCAATTCTTTGAAAAACATGTACTCCAAAAGTGCATAAAGGTGTTTATACATGCCAAAAATGCATGTATATACACGCATGCTCAGAGCGCAACACAATGCATGCTCAAGTTGCAATAGCAATGCAAATAAATAACTTCCTCTACATTTTTGCCACAAACAAAGACCATATCTCCACCATCATCTCAGCCCATCTCCTATTTTCAGTCATATTTTTATTGGAAGAATTTCTTAATGTAGTCTTGGCCCCTTCTATTAGCTTGACAATGCTTATATACCTATGTTGCTTATTATAGCAAGAACTAACAACACTGGGAAGTTGGAAATTTTACAGATTAGGCTTGGCTCAAATAGATCTGTGTGTCCTGCGTTTCTGCAGGACTGTCTCAAAATCATGTCCAGCCTCATCACTCTACTTCAAACGCACACTGTTTGAATGCTACAATCATGTACTATAGGATTTGTTTAAGTGTACTCAGACATATGGCCTCCAGCACTTCCATCACACACTAGATTGCATTTACACTGCACACAGGACTGGCCAAAGTCTATGTGCAGAGCAGACACAGCAGATGATTGGCCTCTGCGGACTCCCCAGGATGCTCATTCAGCGCTAGCCTGGTGGAAAGATGTAAGTCAGCTCTGCGAAACAGCACCTCTCCTTCCACCTCTCCCTGCAGACACCCAGACTGCGGAGTAACAGGAAGACTTGTCTGCTGGAGCCCTATGTTGGGTGGAAAGTGGCCATCACGCTCCTGCCGCTGGTTCCAGGACTGGCTCTCTGTGTTATGAAAGCAGCATGATGGCACTGAATACCACAGTGTGATCAGCCTTGCTATAACCCAAGGGCTTTTGGCCACAAAAGTTGTGCTTTTGGTGTATTTCTTGCACTAAATTCCACATCAAGCTCTAAGAACGCTCCAGGTGGCAATACCTAAAGCATCATCTCGGGTGAGGTCCTGAAGAAGACTGTGAAGGACTGCAAGCCACAAAACACTGCGAGGTTGTGCAGGGTCCCTGTGAGCTGCTGCTCCTGGTGCTAGAGCTCTCAGGCATTCCAACTCCAGGACCTGCTACCTCGATACCAGACTCGAGTTGCCCAAGAAAGATTAGCCCACAGATTATTTTCTAATAATAACCCCATTTCCTTCATACCCGTTACCGCAATCATAGAGAAATCATATTTCTCTGCCACTCAGATCATTTTACTCCACTTTGGGAGTGTATCTACCAGATAATCCTACAGTATTAACATACTGCTGAGAGAATTTTTTTAAAAAGTTAAATGTTATTTCTATCTATCTTGATGTCTCAGAGATATCTATTATCTTGGCCTTCTGGCTCTCTTTAAAAAACATCTTGACTTTGATTTTTTTTTTCTACCAATGTCCATCTGGTATCCTTCTCTGCATCTAAGCCTCATCCTAAAAGTCATTCCATCTTTTCCCATCCTCTACCATTGAATTCCAAAAACCTTTTCTCAGTTTCTTCCCTCAGCATGAAGAAACTCACCATACAGTTCAGGATCTAAATGTGATAGGATATGCTACAGGGTCCCCATTCAAACCCCATGCAACTGTCAAAATCTTTTCTGCATTCATAACAAAAATTGCAGCCGCTAGAAGAACCAGCAGGATACAAATTCCAGTGGCAGCAGCTTTGAAAAACCGCACCCCCACACCCACGACACACCCCACATTCCTGCCTACAGTGGCCCCAAGCTTACATCTAAATTAAGACACTTGACAAATGTCTTCATCGTGCCCGGATTCTTGCTGAGGAACATGGTGAGCTTGGATGGTGCAGGACCCACCCACCCGCGACACCGAAGCCTGCAGTGATGCCAGGGATGCAGTGGCACCGTGTGTCTGAGCGCGGCAGCAGCAGGACACCCGTGCCAGCTCTGCTTGACGTTGTAACGTTAGTGACGATAACTAACGGTCCGCAGCAGGAGCAGCTGCCCAGGGTGCATCTACGCAGCTGTGACTGCACTGCTGCCCACAACAGATCTGGATTGCAATAAAGACTTTCCTAAGAGAGAAAGAGATAGAAACCTAATGGTTTCTATCTAAGCTTTCTTTCTTTTTCTTTTTTTTTTTTCTTTTTTTTTCCCCTGCATAGAATCTTTTAGAATATGCTAAAAAAAGGGGGGGGGGGGAGGGGGGAGAGAAAAAGGTATCCTCCCTAAAATATTAACTCTCTTATGGTCTAAAGGAAACAAAGAGCCAAATTCAGATTTCAGTGCCTTTCCTTCTGCTATGCAACGACCATGCAGCTCCATTTCTCTGTGTCCTTTTCCATGTGGAATCCATGGGTCTCTTTCCAGTAGGAAGTGGTGTCATTAGGCCAACATAGTTTCACTAACACATGCCTCTAAAGGAGATACACACTAGCGTATTTGGTCCTCATGCCATCCCAAGGGCACCGCCCTCCTCTGCCAATAGGGAATTGTGGCAAATTTCCCACCGTTTTCTTGGGGTGGCTACAAAAACATTCCCATGCTGTCCAGTGTACCGAGGTGAGAGTGAGTTATCATTTAACCAGTGACTCACCAGTGTTACTGCTCCTTATGCCTCTGTATGGGATTCACATCACTTGTAATTTCCCTCGCTGATCCAAGGCCAAACTGGGAGGCCCAGTCTGATTTGCGGCGCTGCGCGGGTCGCGGCGAAGACGGCGCGCGCCCCCTGGCGTCTCCCGACGCAGCCAATC